CCCTGGTAGTGCCTGGTTGTCATCTAGAGCAGAAAAAGCTGACTGACTCCTGATCTAGGACCATGGGACCATTAGAAAGTCCCCCACTTTCAGAACTCACACCTTGTCGGTATTTCTGTTCAAGGGTGCTTCTGGAGTTTGCTGAACACAAACTATCTGCAATAGTCTCACATATTATTCAATTAAAATAATATGCTCAGAAGCCAAAAGCCATGTTAACTGTTGCCTCCGCTGTCAGCCTCCAAAAACAAACATTCTGGAGGCTGACAGAAAATCTTGAGATCAAAATGATTTGTGTTGATCCAGAAAGGTCAGACCAAGGAGATGTCCCGGGAGCCAGAAGTCATTTCCAGCATTGATCACAGTTTGCACACGTGGGACCTACTTAGAGTCAAGGCTTATTTTGGGCATTCTTTAATTTAGACTTGACCCTCGGTGCAGTTCCAAAATTGGACGAAATGACATGACCCATTCTTCCATTCTTTCTCATCACTTACTTTGCCTGGGCAGCCCTTACCTATGCCTAAAACTACTCTCAAGTGCAATGGGTCTCATCAGGGCGCCCTTCTTTGTCTTCCCACTAACGTGCCTTGTGCATGACACAGGATAGCCCGTCCCTCATTCATTCCTGATGTTGCTTTTCTCGCCTGACGTCCCCACCATCTCGGTACCCCTCTCATCCACCTCCCGGGTGCTCGGACACATAGGCCAAGTGAATGTAGTTATTGCCTCTGCCTCTGAGAAGGTTCACACTGTTCTTAGGATATCTCTCTGTTGCTGCTCACTGTTTGCTCCACCTCCTCAACCTCTGTAGCTCATATCTTCATCTATCTGGTTCCTTCTCTCAAATATTCTTGTTTTTATTAGAGCACGTGTTGTCCTGTACCTAGAACTGAAACCACTCTATTTTCATGCACCTACAACCCGGACTGGAGCCCAAATCCCAAAGTAATAGGAAAGCGGGTACCATTTTGGAAGGTTTTCTCTGTGTGTGTAGATTTCTTAAGTTAAAGACCCCCTCCCTCCCAAACAAACCCTGTATTCACTCCCCTTTAGGTATCTGTTGCAAAGTTGAGCAGGTGTTAATATTAATCGTTTGTTATTAAAATCAAACAAACGAAGCCACTTGCAACTTGGAAGAAATGGAATAGTGTTTCATTTAATGCTTATTCCCAGGAGCTGAGGACAGAAACTGGCGGCAGCAGCAACAGCGGAATATTCCAATTCATTCCTGCCCCAAATGTGGAGAAGTTCTGCCCGACATAGACACACTCCAGATCCATGTTATGGACTGCATCATTTAAGTGTTCACATCTCACTTCCCCCCAAACTGTTGGTAAATATCAGATTTTTTTCCTCCAAGAGTTGTGCTTTTGTGGTGTTTGTTTTCATGCAAACATTTTGCCTCATTATGTTCGTTTTAGGAGAAAGAAAATATGTTCTAAGTGGGACATTTTCTGTGGCTTTCCTTAGAATCCTGAACATACTGCTTTTCTGATAATAGAGTCTTTCTTTTTTTTTTTTTAATGTTCCATGTATGTGAGCTGAACCGTTCATGCAGTTAATGAGCATGTAACATCATGGGACAGAGTAAATAAAACCGAAGGAAGAGGCCTCACAGATCAACTCTGAGAATCTTTTAAGGAGGCAGGAAAAATGAAGTGGTCACAGATTTAATCAAGAAAAGTATCTTTGGAGTTCTTTTAAAATAAATTATATTGTTATTTGTCTTCATCCATTTAAGACACATCTGTATGAGGTTGTGTATATGTTATAGTTTTATTGCTGCTGCAGTAATTGTACCAAAGTTATGATGGGCCTGTTTTCATATGAGTGCTGTGGGCTTTTACTTAATCATTTGGACAAGTGAAAACATATTGGCATACATGAAGAACATACATTAGGTTCGCTGGTTTCATTGTAGCCCCAGGTATATGGGTTTGTACAGTAGATAGTTTATTAATTTCTAAAAAAGAACAGCTGTTGATGAGGCCATATATTCATAATCACAAAAATAGGTGTATTGCAAAATAAAATTTTGCTTTTGAGTTCACATTGTTCATATATGGTTGGCCACGTTCATGGGATTTTTGCCATATTCAGCTTCATATAAGCTTAATACTTATTCAAATCTGTTTTGTGAATTCTATGAATATAAGCAAACCCCCCTACTAGAGACTAGTGTGTGTTGTTTGGAGTAGAAATTAATCTTGCTAAGGAGGTGAAAAGATAGGGATTTGCTATATTTTGTAAACCCACAGTTTACTGAGATTAGCTAATACTGGGCCCGTCATAAAAGTAAACAGTGTCTTTGTGTGTCTATATCCTAAAGCATTTAGAAGAAAATTAAAAGATATACTCTGTTTGGGTTTGTCATAATAATCTCTCTTAGGCAACTTGATTTAATACACACACACATGTGTGTATATCCATATATGTTTTTTAAAACCAGGAATCAAGACAGTTAATTCTGTCTTCATGCCAAGAGAACACACTGCACAGATTCACAGTAACTTAGATTCTCCCACCTCACTCCAGGGAGAATGCTTATTAAAGACATGTCAAAAATAACCATGAAATTTTCATTTTAACTTCTTGTTTATAGTTTCTAGTTTAAATTTTTTTCCCTTACTATTTTGTATTCGAGGAAATAGATTTCTCTAGTGTCTTAAATAGCAAAGCAACCCAAATGGTTTCACATTTAAGTTAAGGGACGATCCTTTTATGCTGTTCAAGTAAAAATACTAAGCTGATCCCAACTCTGAAGTAACAATGTGAGTGGGCTTACTAAAGCTGTGATCAGGGCGCCTGGGTGGCTCAGATGGTTAAGCGTCTGCCTTCGGCTCAGGTCATGATCCCAGGGTCCTGGGATCGAGTCCCGCATCGGGCTCCCTGCTCCTTGGGAGCCTGCTTCTCCCTCTGCTTCTCTCTCTCTCTCCCTCTCTCTCTGTCTCTCATGAATAAATAAATAAAATCTTTAAAAAAAAAAAAATAAAGCTGTGATCAAATTGTTGGCTGGATAATTCAAAGGATTGCAAATGAAGGCAAGTTCATATAGTCAGTTTAAATTAAAGCCATTGTATTGAGGGAAGCAAACATTTTGGTAAACAGCTTGTAAACTCTGCGCATGTCTTCTCTAACTAGTCTCTTCGGAGGCCTTGCTGCCATGTTACCAGGTAATGACACTTCATTGGAATGTCAGCCTCTCTTCTGGACCCCGCCGCTCTCCTGTGTTCTTAAAGTGTGGCTAAATGGGAGCAATAGAGAGATGAGAACTGGGAAGAAATAGGAATGAACAATGAAAATTTAACAACTAAATAAGATTATTATAATAAGTCTTCAAGTGTTGTATTTTAAAATGATTTTGATCTAGCCTGGCATGTAAGGAGTTTGAAAGTCATCACTCCCATCCTCCTAACAAGGAAAAGGCCGAACAGACTCAAAGTCGTCAACTCTTTTTAAATCCCTCAGAGAACTGAAGTCACAAAGCAAACCGCTGCCCACAAACTGGAGACAGACAGGTACAGAGAGTCGCAGATTACCAGATCAGGGTCTCAGGAGTAGAAACCACAGTAGGAGCCAATACCAGAGTAGGAGAACTTAAACTATAATTGAAGATTTGCCAAAGGCTCAGTGTGGACAAACCTGAGAATTAAAAACTCTAATAGGAGCCCATTCTTAAGAGGACCCCACACTTGTGTGAATTTTACCTCCAGGAGCCCTAGAAGAACCTCACCGTGAAGATTTCTAAAAATTCTCCCATACTTTTAGCAGGGGGAGGGGAAAGTGGCCATTTTGAAATACACTGACACACTCTGTTCTTCCTAGGAATGCCATCCCTCAAGGGAAATTGTTTTACCAGACCCTAAACTGCTGGATGATTATCAGAGCCTGACTGACCAGGGGGAAAGCAAATACCCAACTCCAGCCCCCCCCCCCCCCGCCCAGCTTTACTCCTCTCACCTGAGGAGGAGAAAAAAGTGTGAGAAGGTCACAGCACAGAGGGAGAAGCTCAGTAAAAGACCAAGACCTTATCATAGGACGTGGAACTCTTCTCCCCCACACCTACCTTACCAGCACATCAACAAGGTGCCCATATAATAATGGGCTTACAATTGGAAGAAATGCTCATCTTTGGGTTTATTAAGGAAGAGGTATATAGGGAATCCCAAAGACAACAAAGGGAGACAAAACAAGGACACCAGAGGAGATTTTAGCCTGTGACACCCACAGCTGCAGCAGACAGTAAACATAGTCCAGCTCGTAGCCAGGTAAACATAAAGCCTCACACTATTTACCTCAGTTCCTTTTACCCACTACATCATTTCCATTTTTCAACAAGAAATTATACTGCATATTAAAAAAAAAAAGCACAGTTTGAAAAGATAGAGCAAGCATCAGATGTGATGAATATAAGACTGGAAATTTAAAACAACTATGGTTAGTATCCTAAGGGCTATAATGGGAAAAGTGACAACATGCAGGAAATGGGGGGTAATATAAGCAGACAGATGGAAACGCTAAGAAAAAAATCAAAAGGAAGTACTAGAAATCAGAGACAGTGTAACAGAAATGAAGAATGCCTTTCATGGGCTCATGAAAAGACTGAACATGGCCAAGAAAAGAATCTGTGTGCTTGAAGCAATGTCAATAGGAACTCCTAAAACTGAAATGCAGAGGGAAAAAAGAATGAAAACAGAATATCCAAGAACTGTGGGACAATTTTTTTAATGTAATAGATGTGCAATGAGAATATCAGCATGAAAAGAAAGAGATTGTGTTAAGTAATTATGGCTGAAAATTTCCAAAAATTAACGACAGACACCAAACTACAGATCAGGAAGGTCAGAGATCACCAAGCAGATTAAATATCAAAAAATCTTCACCTAGGTATATTGTATTCAAACTGCAGAAAATCAAGGGCAAAGAGAAAATCTTGAAAGAAGCCAGAAAGAAAAAAATCTTACGTGTAGAGGAACAAGGATAAGCAATATATCAGACCTCTCTTCAGAAATCATGCAAGCAGGAAGAAGGGAGTGAAATATTTAAAAACCTATATGCAGTCTATAAGAAACCCATTTTAAATATAAAGAGACGGAGAAAGAAACGGCAAGCTAACACTAATTAAAAGAAAGCTAGAGTAACCAAATTAATTTAAAGAAGACTTCAAGGCAAGAATTGTCAGGGATAAAAAGGGACATTACAAAATGATGAAAAGGTCAATTATTCAAGAAAGATAACAGTCCTAAATGCATGTGCACCTAACAAGAGAGCATCAACATGCATTCGGCAAAAACTGATAGAATTGCAGGAAAAATAGGTGAATCCACTAATACAGTTAGAAAATTTAAAATCTATCAGTAATTAACAGACCCAGTAGTCAAAAAATTAGTAAGGACATAGTTGAACTGTGTAACACTATCAACAAGATTCAATTGATATCTATAGAATACTTCATATTCTAAATATAGCAGAATACGCATTTTTCTCAAGTTCATGGAGAACATTCACTATGATAGGACACATTCTGAGCCATAAAAAACACCTTACCAAATTTAAAAAAAGATAAGCCATACACAATATGCTCTCAGACCACAATGGGATTAAACTAGAAATCAAAAACAGAAAGATACCTAGAAACCCTAAAAAAAACATTTGGAGATTTAACACACTTGTAAATAATACATGGGCTAAAGAAGAATTCTCAAGAGAGATTTAAATAAATTTTAAACTAAATGAAATGAAAATATAACACAAAGTTTCTGGGCTGAAGTGGAAGCCATGCTTAGCAAGAAGTGTACAGCATTGAATGAAAGATCTAAAATTGGTAATTGAAGCTTCCACTTTAAGAAACTAGAAAAGGAATGGCAAATAAAACACAAAATAAGCAGAAGAAAATAATAAAAATTAGAACACAAATCAGTGAAATTCAAACCAGGAAATCAATAGAGAAAATCAATGAAACTGAAAGCTGGTTCTTTGAAATGATCAACAAAATTCATAAACCTCTAACTAGGTTAAGGAGATAGAAGACACAAATTACCAATATCAGTATACCAGCAATGAATGGTTAGAACTTTAAAAACACAATAACACATTAGTACCAAAAAATTAAATACTTAGGTATATATCTAATAAAACATAAGATCTGATGAAAGAAATCATAGAACTAAATATAAATAAATGAAGTGATATTTTATGTTCATATATAGGGAGACTCAGTTTTGTCAAGGTTTTGGTTTTTCCCAACTTGATCTACAGAGTCAATACAATCCCGAGAAGTTATTTTGTGGTTATTGACAAAGTGATTCTAACAGTTTATATGGAGACACAAAAGACCCAGAATACCCAACATAATATTGAAGGAGAAGAACAAAGTTGGAGGACAGACACTACCTGCCTACAAGACTTACTGTCAAGCTACGGGAATCAAGATTGTGGTATTGGTGAAAGAATGGACAAGTAGACAAACAAATCAGTGGAGCAGAACAGAGAGCCTAGAAATAGACCCAGAGAGTCAACTCGTCTTTGATAAAGGAGAAAAGGCAATTCAATGGAGAAAGGATAGTATTTTTAATAAGTGATGCTGGAACAAACAGTGGATATCCACATGTAAAAAAATGAATCTAGACACAGGCCTTATACCTTTCACAAAAATAAAACTCAAACCACAGAGTGGGAGTAAATCTTTACAAAACACATTATCTAATGAAGGACTGGTTTCAAAATATACAAAGAATTCTTAAAACTCAGCAACAAGAAAGCAACTCAATTTAAAAATGGACAAAAGATAATAGATACCTCACCAAAGAAGACATACACTTGGTAAATAAACACATTTTAAAAGATACTCAACAACATGTTATTAGGGAACTGCAAATTTAAACAATGAGATATCACCACACACTTATTAAAATGGCTAAAATCCAAAAGACTGACAGCACCAAAGCTGAGGAGGATGTGAGATAGCAGAAACGTTCATTCATTGCTGGTGGAAATGCAGAATGGTAGTTTGGAAGACAGTCCAGTGGTTTCTTGCAAAATTAAGTGTGCAATCCTTTGTATCTATCCAAATGAATTGAAAACTATGTCCGCACAAAACCTGCACATGAATGTTTACAGTAGCTTTATTCGTAATTGCCCAAACTTGGAAGCCACCAAGATGTCCATCAATAGGCAAATGCATAAGTGGTACATCCATACAATGGAATATGATTCAGCGCTAAAAGGAAATAAGCTATCAAACTGCAAAAAGACATGGAGGAACTTTAAATGCATATTGCTAAGTGAAAGAAGCCCATCTGAAGAGCCTACATGCTGTATGATTTGAACTGTATGACACTCTGGAAAAGTCGGTATATGGAGACAAGATCATTGACTGCCAGGGGTTAGGTGGAGGGAGGGATGAATAGGTGAGAGCACAGAGGATTTTTAGGGCAGTGAAACTATTCTGCATGATACTGTGATGGTGGCTACATTTGTCAAAATCCATTGAATGTAAAACATAAGAGTGAATCCCGGGATTGAGTCCCACATCGGCCTCCCTGCTCAGCGGGGAGTCTGCTTCTCCCTCTGACCCTCCTCCCTCTCATGCTCTCTGTCTCTCATTCTCTCTCTCGCAAATAAATAAAAAATAAAATCTTAAAAAAAAAAAAGAGTGAATCCTAAACTGTGGACTTTGGTTAAAAATAATGTATCAAAAAAATGTATCGATATTGGCTCATCCATTATAGCAAATGTCCCATACTAGTGCAAGTTGTTAATAATAGAAGAAACTGTGTGGAAGGAGATTTGTGGGAACTTTATTCTTTACACTCAGTTTTTCTGTAATCCTAAAACTGTTCTAAAAAATAAAGTTCGGGGCCCCTGGGTGGCTCAGTTGGTTAAGCATCAGCCTTTGGCTCAGGTCATGATCCCAGGGTCCTAGGACTAAGCCCTGCATCAGGCTCTCCACTTCAGCAGAGTCTGCTTTCTCCCTCTGTGATCTCTCTCGCTTTTGCTCTCTTTCAAATAAATAAATAAAATCTTTTTGAAAAACAATAAAAAAGTTAAAAAATGAAGTCCATTATTTTCTAAAAAATGAAAAACATTTTGAACCACAAGATTATTTAATATGAACATAAAATGTGTTGTGTGTGTCAGAAAATCACAATTCTTGTGAAGATTGGCTAACACTTCCATTTGACCCATAATGAAAGAAGGGGCCAACTTAGAATTGCTTTAATGAAATTAATTTATTATGCCATCATTAATTCAATGGAGGAAAGTTGATATGAGAGCTAGTTGCAGCTTTTCAGTATAACAGGAATCAAGTCTATGAACCAACATTCAAATGTCTTAGTGGAACAATGAAAGGTACCAAAACTGCTTTGCTCTGAGAAGCAAATAAAAAGTAGAAATAATTTTACAGTCTTTTGAATCCTTTGATTTACAGAGTTTATCATTTTAAAAATTACTTAAATAACATTATGTACTCTTGTTGCAAAAAATGTTAGTCATCACTGAGTAATTTGTTATTTTTTCTAGCTAAGTACTTGCAAAGATGGGAAATATACAAAAAGTATTCATTCAGAAACTCTCATAAGTTGATAGATTTGTGTAGAAGTTTTGGTTTTTAAATACACAGAACCAAAATTATGGGTAAAATTTATTTTACATATATGTGTATTATATTTTATTATTATTTGCTGGGCTATAAACCCAGCAAAACCAAGGAAGAAATGTATTGAACAGTCTTATGGATTAATTAAAACCAGCAAAGCTGGTGGTTTTATTGGCTTCCCTTTGGAAAACATCAGTTGAGGTAAGTAGATGGAGGAACATACCCCATTGTTTAAAGTAACTTCTAGGTTGATTGAAAAGCAATAGACTTATTTGCACAACAGAGACAATATTCTGTTAGCAAAATCAAGGAGGTGGGATTTCCCTCTTTCTCTAGGTAGAGGGTTGCCTCTGAGCAAGGATAACATTTTTCTCAGTGCAGGATCTTTGTCCAGTCAGACAAACTCAAGTTTGGGATAAGACCTGAGAGAGTTCTGCACATTGAGCAAGGAAGATACGAATGCGGATGTAAACAGACATCTTCAGGGAGGAGATGGTGGTGGAGGAGCTTTGGAAACTGGTCTGATTTTCTGATTTTGAATAGCATTGCCTGTCAGGCCCAAAGATGGAGGAAGTGTTGTAATCATCTGGTGCATTAACCAGGTAGACATACTGAAGAGTATTCTGCTTCTACAGTCTCTGCTTTGGAGAATGCAAGTACACTCACTAAACCTCGCCGCAGACCTGCACATGAAGGTCTGCCACATCCCCCTGGCTTTGGTCACGTAGCTAAAAGTACAGGCTGAAATCCGCACCTTCACCTCAGACTGAACTTGCCGTCTTCCCCCTGTCCGGGGGGGCAAGCTCCTGCTGGACACTCCAGTCCATTTCCGCACCTCTGCCAGGCATCCAGGTGTGGCCAGCCTGGCTGCCTTCCTCTCCTTTTCCTGCCAGAAGTAACTTTCTTCAGCCAGTGACCAAAGCAGACAGGGTTTCCTTCATAATGCCTTTCACGGGTCCCTTCCCTTGAACTCTGGCAGTCTGAAACTGTCACGATCTTTAACTGGGC